TGTTTTTCCCTCTTTTTCAATTTTCTCTTTACTTAAAAATCACTGATGATGAAGAAATTAAGAAACTAATATTGAATTATTTTTTTCTACTGAAGTGATTAAAAACAGAAATGAATTTCTCTCTCATTGTTGTTTTATTTTTGAAAATAATCTTAAAACAATAGTGCAGCCCTGACTGTTAAAAGCAGTTACAATCTGGTGCTTTTTAATCCTTCTTTCACTACATCCGTTAGATGTTTTTATATTGATTTGAGTGAAGAAGAAAGAATATTTTACYAGAATTATAGTTATTTTATTGGTTTTTATATTCCAGGCCTGCCTTGTAAAAGAGAGCTGTGATCTCAGTGGGATTTGCCTGATTAAGTAAAAAAAGTAAAATCTTTTCATTTTTCTTACAATAAATTTCAGACAATATTTACACCGGGTATTAATGTTTCCTCCCACAGACCAAAAACCATGTCCAATAGGTTGTCTTCAGAGATCTGTGATCTCAGTGGGATTTGCCTGATTAAGTAAAAAAAGTAAAATCTTTTCATTTTTCTTACARTAAATTTCAGACAATATTTACAATAAGTACTTAAAACATATTCATTACTTTAAAAAAATGGATAATTTATCTAACACGTTAGTTAAATTAAAGAGCTAAATTTATCTTTGGCATGGGGATCTATCAGGGTTTAACTGAAACTTGAGTTGTTTTCTTTTTATCCCAGCCATTATGTGTCTGTGTGCATTCAAGCCTCCGGTCTGCACTCAGGATGTCAAACACATGTTATCTCTCTGCCCGGCCTCAACCTCAGCCTTGGAACGACACAAAAGGCTTCCTTGGCGTTACCCGCAGCACTTGTGGCTTACCTCAACAAGCCTCTCCCTCCCCATCAAGCCCTTCCTCAGCACAGCGCTCCAGATTAGTGTCTGCCTCAACCTCATCTGCTCCCTGAGCACTAAATTACTGTCAGGGAGCCATTTCCCCTACACCTCTGTGGATTTACATTAGCTAAGTGTGTGCGTGTGTGCGTGTGTGTGTATGTTGACTCTGTGTGCCTTAATCCAGCAGCTATGATCATTACTGGATTTGCATTGTGCTGCTTTTTATAGGCCTACTGGAAGAGAAAATGTCAAAAATACATAAAGCTCTCCCTAACAGTTTTCTGTTTTTATATGTAGCCACAATAAAAAATGAATAAATACACTTTATATTTTAAAGTTTTTCTTGTTTATAGGGACAATAAAAAGAAAAACATCTAAGATTGGGTACGAAAATTAAATACACAAAACCTAAAGTAAGAGCCTGTAAAATTTAGAATGCAATTTGATATCTATCAAAAAACACACTAAAATACAGCAGCAGAAACTAACATGTTCAGCGAAAACATTAAGAAATAAAAATAAAAAAATAATAAAAAATCTGGACTTCTGTAATGTTTTTCTTCTGATCTGAGTTTCTGAGTTTTCATAATTCAGAAATATAGTTTTTAAACTGCTTAAAGGGCCAATATTATGTGTTTCTCAGGCATACATTTAAATACTATACCATAATAAATTATGTATGTCACCTTTAGCTGTTATTAAAATGCTGTTTTTATGTTTAAACAGAAAATAAACTTATCTTCTCATCACTTCCTCTTCTAAATGCCTTGAAATTGGCCTCTGTCTCTTTAAGAACCACCTTCTGCTTCTGTCCAGCCCATTTCAGCGTGCGGGGGGTGGGGGGTCGCGCACGTGCTATGATGTAGTTT